ACCCTGCTCATGTCAATCCCGGCCAAAGTAGAAACCCTTGTCTGAGGGGACCCAAAGTACCCTCCAGGAGAAACAGAAAATATTCGCCCCAGAAAATGCCAAATTCGAACTGGAGAATCGTCTAACACTCTTTTCAAGTATTACTACAATCTAAAGATAAGCAAAATTCAATGAGACTAATTGTCCAAACCTAAGGCAGACGGGATCTCTGCGGAACCATCAAGGAATGCGATCAAATGTCGACCCTGGTATTTTGTAACCAAGAGCGGAATCTGGCCAGTACGTGTAGGACGCTCTAAATTTATTGCCAGTTGAAGATCACAAATTCTATTTATTACATATCTCTTTGAGCAATAGAAGAAAAGTAGCGAAATTAGTCTAAAGGCTTGCGTTGTAAGGAAATGATGTACTCTAACAATGATCGCTGGCGATCGTTCTCATAATTTTATGGCAATGGAAACGTTGAACGTAACCGAGGTACAAGTGAGGCCCAATGGGGGATAAGTGCTGTAGTTTTTTAAGCTACCCTAAAATTCCAGATTCCCGAAAATAACTCTTGAATGATCCTTTTGACGTAAAGATCCATTTGATTAATTTTTTATTTTTTGCAAACGGCAACATACTCAAATAAAAAGAAAAAAATATAGATGGTCCTTGTCAAACGTAACGTGGTAGGTTAACATTAAGTGCGTAAATATGGAAGTGGGAAAAAATAGCAATAGTTTTGTTTCTACTATAAAAAAACTGGTTTGAGCTTAAGTCGTTTTAATAAGAGTTTTGAGAAGTAAAAAACTAGAGAATGATTTAGAAGGGTTATTTATCATATTGAAGTTGCTAAACTAATAGAAGTAAATAGAAATAGTTGTGTACTTTAAAATTGGCTATCTGTCAAAAAAAATATTTAGTAAATAGCAAGGATTTTCTTTGTATGGAACCAACACATATAATGCAGTTAAAAACTGTTATGACTAACATCATAATAGCTGTCTAATATAGCAGCTATATGAACAATAAAAAGAATAAAATATATTGAGCTCTCTTACCAACCTATTCTAAAATAATTTCTATTGTTTTGGATTAAAAAAATGTAACTTGCTTTTAAACTACTTAGATTGATTGAAAAATATTATCTTTATGTAAAACATAACTATGCAAACATGTAGGTACATTTTGTTCTAATTATAGATTTTAATGATATTAAGTTTTGCTGAAGCTTATAATCCATTACTCACAAAATGTAATTTATTACTAAACGTCACTGACTTGTAATTATACCACACTAAAGTAAATTTGTATCTAAGTATAATTTAATACAGCAAATTTATTATGACTCACTATTATAAAAATAAACTATATATCCGATATGTTTTAATCAATTGAAAGTGTCACTTTTAGTTTATAAAATGTTTTTCATTCAATTATATTTATGTGGTAATACCAAATTTCTGAAATATGCAGTATATAACGAATATATGTGAAAACTAGAATAATTTATTTTGGGTGCTGCCCTGATAAACCATTAATCTAAATAAATTCATAAGGCCATCGCCATCATAAATTAGTTGGGAATGTTGTGGAAGCAGCTATCTCATAAAGTGGTGTATATACATAACTTATCGCTGAAGCCCGGAAATTTTTTCCGGTTTAGTTTCCCTCTACAAAATACCTGAATTCTTACAAAACGAAAAGTTCAAACGCGTGTTTTCATACCAGTAAACTACTTATTATCCAATCCATAAATATAGGTATCAGAAAATATTTTATTCACATGCAATATTGTGTAAAATATATCACAAATAGTATATTTTTTGTTCACACATTTAATAAAATAAATACATTTTTAAGTTTTATATTCATATCAGCCAACAGTATTAAATATTGCACTATTAATCATGTCATCATCAATATACACAAGATACAATAACAAAGAGTTTTTATAAAAACTAAAACAATTTTTAATTTGCTATTTCGTCACATTGTAGAGAAAATGGAATTAAATTATTTTAAAATATATAGAAATCTTATAAGCAAAAGGCAACAGCTGTAATTTGATATTTTCCTGAAATATTGGCGCTTTATGGATTTTTTTACATAGAATCCAGTGGCTACATAATTTTTTAATAACTTTAACTGTTTCATTTTTAATAAAAGAATTGTGACTAAAATAGATTCACTCCAGATATAACCTGGTGAGGTAATTAGAAACTTTTTACTTTCTGAGATAATTATGACAAACTATACATAATTATATATATTTCTGGAAATATCAAAACACTGTTTTTAAATTGGTCATTGCTAACCTACAACTTCCGTTAAAAAATTGCAATTTTGAGTTAAAAATTGAAAGTCATGAGAGTTATTAAACGATTTAAATACGCCATTAGACTCGACTTAAATATCTATAATTTTTTTAATCAATGTTTCAGCAAACAGAAGTCCAACTCTAGCTCTCTAGTACTTATGGCTACATAATCTAAAATTAACAAATGTATAAAGTACCCTAAAGATTTCTCTGAAAAAGGCCATGGTCACAAATCGCGACGCGACTCTTTAGCTTTGATAATAACCGAGATATCTTGATTATTTTAAAAGACACAGGGCGTTTATTTTTTACCGTCTCTCTTTAAGGTCGAATTATTAGTTTCGTTCATACAATTTTTAATTTAGTATAGAGGAGATTCTTCCGTTTTTTACCAGATTTCAGTGTCAACGATATTTTGTTATAAGTCCCGATTATTTTATTTTTTAACTTATGCATTTTTCAATCCCTTAAATCTGCATAAAATTCCCTTTCATATGATATCATTATACATTATATTATACATGATATTTGTACAAAAACATTTTTTCTGTGTAAAATCAAACATAACTGATTTCATTTTATGATCAAATTTACTTAGTACACCATGATATTTTTATCGATATACAGGGTGTTTTGCATAACAACCGACTCAGAGGGGGACATGTAGGGTAACCCAAAATATGACGATTTAACGCAACTTACCTTTATACGAAATTGCACCCCTGAGAAATTATAGGTCTTGAAAGTGAGGTTTCAAATTTCGAAAAAATCAATATTTCAGTTATACTTGAATTTACAAAAATTTGGTACACGGTGTAAATGTGCCAAGAGCATTAATCGACAATACTATATTTTTGGTTCCCCTACATGCCCCTGTTCTGTGTCGGTTCTTATGCGTAACGCCCTGTATGTATATAAGGTACCTATATCCACATTTACTTAGAGAAACAAATGAATAACAGAATAAATATTTTTTGTATGAAAAAAATTACGCGGATTTCAAAAATTTAATAGTAACTATTAAAAAAATGTAAGTACGTATTTTAGGTTGTAGGTAACTGGAACCCCTAAAATTATAGAAAAATATAGCTTGCACTGAATTTTCTGTAAAAAACTAAATTAAAGTGCCCTTCACAAAAATAAAAATTTTCACAAATGAACAAACAAAAATATACAGGGTGGGCCATTAGTGTGACAAAGTAAAATAACTCCCTTGTTATTCATAATACAGAAAAAAAGTTTATAAAAAGTTGTACAGAATCAAAAACTTAAAGAACAAAATTAATTTGAAACATACAGGGCGATGAGTAAAAACGGGACACGCCAAATATTACATTTTTTAAATGGAACACCCTATATATTTTTAGACATATGGATTTCAGAGAAAATTCTATATAAGGCAATATAAACAGTTTAACATTTTAGTGCGGGGTTGCCAAGTTATGTCGAAAATTCTTTGAATTTTGGAAAAAACATGACCTCGAAGAAGTTGTATTAACTTTCAACTACTAACACTTGGAGTAAAAATATTTGACAGAGTTATAGGCAAATGTTGGGCAAAGACTCCTGTGTTAGCTAATATCAATATTTTATACAGGGCATTTTTTATAATACGATCAGTTTTAGAAAGTTCAAACTTGATTTTCTAAAATTTTTCAAATGGAACACCCTGTATTTTATTGTTCTATTTTATTCACATATCAGTCCACTTCAACTTTTATTAAGTATGTTCTACGCCTAAAGTTGTTAGTTTTTAAGAAGATATAGCAATAATTCTGGAAAAACCTAATTTTTATTATTTTCTGTCGCACGAAATGGCTTTGGAAAAAACTGTCACATTGTGTCAACTTGTCAGTTCATAGTTTATCATTTCATTTTGAGTTAAATTTATTAGTTAATATTTATTTGTGGTATTCTGTAAAATAATAAAAATTAAGTTTTTTCAGAAATGTTGCTATATCTTAAAAACTAACAATTTTAGATATATAACATGCTTAATAAAAGCTGAAGTGGACCTACATATGAATAAAATAGAATAATAAAATACAGGGTGTTCCATTTGAAAAATTTTAGAAAATCAAACTTTCTAAAAATTATTGTATTATAAAAAATGCCCTGTATAAAATATCGATATTACCTAACATGGGAGCCTTTGCCTAACATTTGCCTATAACTCTGTCTAATTATTTTGTTCCAAGTTTTAGTAGCTGAAAGTTAATACAACTTCTTCGAGGTCATGTTTTTTCCAAAATTCAAATAATTTTCTAACTTGGCAACCCCGTACTAAAATGATAAACTATTTATATTACATATACAGAATTTTGTAGGAAATCCATGTTTAAAAATATACAGGGTGTTCCATTTAAAAAATGTAATATTTGGCGTGTCCTATCTTTACTCATCGCCCTGTATGTTTCAAATTAATTTTGTAGTATAGGTTTCTTGATTCTGTACAACTTTTATATAGACTTTTTTTCTGTATTATGAGTAACAAAGGAGTCATTTTACTTTCTCACACTAATGGCCCACCCTGTACATTAAATGAATCAGAATGCGGCTATCGATATTCAACATTTTTTCTACCTTTTCAGGGACTATGAGAAAGCCCTAAATAGTGTCAAAAGCGTTTAAACCCTATCCAAAAATATTGTGCATTATAATAATTAACTTGACTTAAAAAACCCAATATTATTTTCAGATTTCGTTAAAAGCCACAATCTCTATGGTGACTCCAAGCATACCCCCGGCGTTGTTTTAGCTAAAATTGTAAAACCCAATATTCCCGTAAAGAATGGAGTTATTCATCTTATTCACAAGCCTCTCATGGTTGTGGACGGTACTGTAAGAAGCTTGTTGCAGGTAAGATTTAAATTTTTAATGAGTAATCTGCTTTAAAATCAAATAGATGTCACACTCACACCTACTACTCTACTACATTCTTACTTGTGGAAAGACATAACACAATACCTCAATAATTTCAATCACTTACCATACCAGTATCTATAAATCGCAACAAAAAATGGTTGTATTAAGAGTTGTTGCAGTTTTTAAGACTACTTTTGCTGTAAAATGAGGAAAAACTTGCTTCACGTATTATTTTTATCCCGGTACTATTTATAGAAGATAATCATGTACGTAGATGTTTGCTAACTCTTCAATAAAAATATTTCAGCAACAGTCTAAATTAAAATTCACAGTAACTACTATTCGTGTATTAACACAATTAAAATAAAGTATTAAACAGTTGAACAGCAGAAGAAGAAATTATAAATCATATTATCAAAGAAATTTCTGAGAAATTATTATTCCAATTCACTGACTAGGAAAGTTTATTTATTGTGGAAAATCTGAGTTAATCTGAATAAGTTTAATAAGTTCTAAAAGAATTTGCAATTGTTCTATTTTTAAAGTTGTAATATAGTGCCATAGTTTTCTGCGAATTATTGTAAATCGATATTTGTCTGATTGTTACGAAAAAAATTATTAAAGTACAAAAAATTGTAAAAAAAAAACAAGACTAAAAATACACACAAAAGAGATTCGACGATATTTCTGTGTAAAAGCCGTAAAATCAGTTTAAACTCACTATTGTAAGCTGTGAGAATATTTCAACCCTTGTTATTATCTCTATTTACATGGGTTTTTAAGCTTAATGTAATCGCTATAATTATTTTATAATTTTTTGGATTTTCGTCGGTTTGTAAACGAAGTTAATTAGTTCAGTAGATAGGATCGATGCATCCATGAAAAACGTAACTGCATTATTTTATAAAATATTGAAATAAACAAATTTAATATAAATATTTGATATTTTTAATTATTTAAATACTGACTGTCTTGAAATATATTTTCGTTTAATACATTGATGTAATAAAATTTTAACTTATAGCTAGTATATTCATTAATAAAAATAATGCAGTAAGTCCGGGTTAGATGTTTTTTTCAACTAAATTTTTTCACAAAAAATGATTACTATTCCTTATATTACATCTTACACCAATAAACTTTAATGCGTTGTACTTAGCTGCTGAGACGTACTTCAAATGTTTCATTAGCTGCGGGGACGATGTCCCTTTATAAAATAATGTAACATATTTTAGGCCTTTAAGGCATCATGGTCTGTTGCAAATGGGGTATATATCTCAATTCTATTATATATATGAGATAGACGTATTATACAGGGTGTCCCAACCAAGCGATAAAGCTCTGTATATCTTAAACCCTCATAGATAGAAAAAAAAGTTGAAATAAAAATTACAATACAACAACAGCGCCATCTTTCAAAATTATTTATAATCATATAGGGCATTGCATTTCCACGTGGCTATATAAAACTTAATTTTTTTAAATGGAACGCTCTGTATATTATTTAAATTTCTCTTTACACATTAAATTGTCTATTCAGCCATATTTTGTTTTCCAAAATCCGAGTAACCGCTGCAAAGTTATTCAATTTTTTTATAAAAAACTTAGGAAAGCATTATTCTTTTGGGAAATAGATTGCTACCTCAGTTTTTTCAATGGGGAAATGCAATTTGGGTATGTAATGTTGTACCTACTGAGATTAGAACATGTCGCCAATTTATAGGGTGTTACTTTGTGGCGTTTAAATTTAAGGAAATTCAATTGCTTAAAACTTGATTTTTTTAAATAGTACACCCTGTGTTTACTTCAAATGACGTAGAATTAAATTACCTTTCAAATGATATAGCGGTTCCTGTACCTGTGTTTTGCGAATTTCAAAATATTTCAGTTTAAAGTTTGATATCCATTTTATTAAAAAAAAGTAGTGACATAAGCGTGCGTAATTTAAGTAAGAAAAGTAGAATAAGCAAATCCTCCATTATCAGGAGGCACAAGTATCACCCGTACCACAATGCTCTGCATCAGGAATGACAACGGTTTTGAACGTAGAAGTAGATTTTGTCAAACCATGCAAGAAAAAATCAATCAGCAAAATAATTTTTTGCATATGTTTTATTTACCGACGAAGCAATTTTTAAAAGTAATGGACTTGTGAACCGACATAATATGCATTATTATGCAATAGAAAATCCTCACTGGATTCGGCAAGTAGATAATCAATACATATGGTCGTTATTAATGATTCCGTAATTGGTCCATATTTCTTTAATGGTTTTATAAACTGTCAAAGCTATTTACATTTTTTGATAGATGAGCTTCCCCCGTCTGTTAGAAACGCGTCTAATTATGTGGTTTTAACAGGATAGAGCTCCAGTTCACTATCACAGACAAGTTCGTCGATATTTAAATCGAATATTCCATAATCGGTGGATTGAACGAGAAGATCCAATGGAATTTCCAGCAAGCTCGCCAGATTTGACACTAATGGACTTCTTCTTTTGGGGTTACATCAAAGAAATTGTATATCAAGAAATTCCGACTACAGCTGAAGACATGAAGCAGAGAATAAGAGAAGCGTTCCAAAACGTTTCAAGGCAAACACTGCGTAAGGTTCAAACAACATTACGACGAAGACTTCGTTACTGCATACAAGAGCAAGGAGGTTTAACATTTAAAATAATTTAATTTTCATTTCATGTTTATGTACGTTGCCATTTATTTGTTTCCAATTTTTAATGTATTAACGATTTAATAGTAGGCATATTCCGATCTCATTATTTTTTAAATAATGGTCTAATGCAAATATTGAGGTTATTTATACTTTTTTACTATATCTGTGTGTAGGTTAATTAATTATTGTTACCAAACCCAGGGAAATTTATTCGATTTGAATTTGTGTTCGAGTGACACTACTTTGTTTAAATAAAATGAATATTATAAACTTTAAACTGAAATATTTTGATATTCGTAAAAGGCAAATACAGGAACCGCTATATCATTAGAAAGGTGATCTAATTCCACGTCTTTTGAAGTAAAAATATACAAGGTGTCCTATTTAAAAATATCAAGTTTTAAGCAATTGAATTTCCTTAACTTTGAACGCCACAAAGTAACACCCTATAAATTGGAGACATGTTCTAATCTCAGTATAACGTTCTTCAACATGTCCCCCGTTTCGGACCCAAATTGCATTTGCCTATCGAAAAAAAACTGGGTTAGCAATGTATTTCCCAAAATGATAATGCTTTCCTAAATTTTTTATAAGACAATTGAATAACCTTGCAGCGGTTACTCGGATTTTGGAAAACAACATATGGCTGAACAGGCAATTTAATGTGTAAACAGAAATTTAAATAATATGCAGAGCGTTCCATTTAAAAAAATTAAGTTTTATATAGCCACCTGGAAATGCAACGACCTATATGATTATAAATAATTTTGAAAGATGGCGCTGTTGTATTGTAATTTTTATCTACACTTTTTTTCTATCTATAAGGATTTAAGATATACAGCACTTTATCGTTTGGTTGGGACATCCTGTATACAGTGAGTCGGGAGAATCGCACCAAACTCCAGGAATAGATTCTACACGTCAAAATAATAAGAAAAAACTCAAATATTGTTATACGATTTTCATTTGTTTTCATGTTAGAACGTAATTATAAATTTTAAAAATTCAAGTTCAAAAGTAGAATATTTGTCAGTGTCATGTTGGAATAATTTGATATTTGATTACAGGTTTATTCGTCCATTTCGCCCTTCCACAAATAAGAAGTGGATCTTATTTGTAGAAGGGCGAAATGGGCGGTGACTATTAGACGCCTTCATTATAGCCANTAATATGCACAGCGTTCCATTTAAAAAAATTAAGTTTTATATAGCCACCTGGAAATGCAACGCCCTATATGATTATAAATAATTTTGAAAGATGGCGCTGTTGTATTGTAATTTTTATCTACACTTTTTTTTCTATCTATAAAGGTTTAAGATAAACAGAGCTTTATCGTTTGGTTGGGACATCCTATATACAGTGAGTCGGGAGAATCGCACCAAACTCCAGGAATAGATTCTACACGTCAAAATAATAAGAAAAAACTCAAATATTGTTATGCGATTTTCATTTGTTTTCAAGTTAGAACGTAATTATAAATTTTAAAAATTCAAGTTCAAAAGTAGAATATTTGTCAGTGTCATGTTGCAATAATTTGACATTTGATTACACGTTTATACAGAGTTATTCACCATATTAACCCCCCATTAACTTTTTTGTTTTTAGTTACAAAAAAATGTAAAATACGAAAATTGCACGATTTCAAAAATGATAGTAGAAAAACAAATAAAGTCCAAACAAAATGGTCGTAAATGTTAACTTTGTTAATTTAAATGGAACACCTGTATATTTTTACATATTTGGATACAACGTTCCCTGTCGATCATAGTTATATAGGGTTTGTTGGGTCCATCTTTAAAAATAAGCGAAATACATACTATTAAAAAACGAAGAGAAGTTTTTTTTATTAAGCAAGTAAGATTTATTGTAATTGTTAGACCTCTTTCGGGCATTTCTGCCTTTTTTCGAATTACGTAAGGATTTACAGATTTAGTTGTTTTTGAGGTGGGAAGTAATTATACATATAGAGTAAAAGTCAGAATTGAAATTTTGATTTTAAAATTTGTATTAGGACATTATTTGAGGTTATAAATAGATTTTTTTTATAAAAATGTTGTGTAAAATAATAAATAATGGGTCTCTCTTGAGTATTTGCGTGTTTTTCTTTTTAATTTATGAGCACCCTGTATATCTAATCTAAGATGTTTGTATGACAGTCTCATTTTTTCGAGGGGCAGAACTTTTTATAAAGAGTGACATTTTCAATAAAGTCAAAAACAAAAGAGTTTCTCCTCTTGTTAACTCCATCCGTGGACACACTGTATATACATTATTAATAAACTTTATTGTACTTAAATTCTCAAGTTTTTACTAAATTATTTTAATAAAAAAGTAAAAAAAAAATCAAAAAATCATATTTTTTTGCTTTCTTTAAAATTGTTTATGAACGATTTTTTGCATAAAATTTTCCTTTTACATTTTTTAAATAAGCCATTTCTATGAAAAATTCAATTCTCTACAAAATTTTTTCTATGCACTATACCGAAATTTTGCTTCGTTTTCGTGCTATATTTAAAAAACTGCAAAAGTGCATTTTCACCCCTATCTTCAATTTCAACCCTCTAATTTAATAGGACTCCGCGGTTATTTCATTTTTAATGACCCTTCGAACAAGTCATGTGATGAAAATCCTTGAACGTCTTATTTCTTTCCTTTTTTGCAAAAAATGTGAATTATAACGTATAAGGGTAAACGCGATGAAAATCGAAAAATTGGCTTAGTTTGAGCGGCCATATATCAGTCAATTTTCATCCAAAAATACTTTACACCCTCTTGTTTTGAAGGAAAGGAAATTTTATCTACTTTTTTGTCTATGAAACAATCCTATACCTATCTTTACTCAAAAAAAAAAAGAAAAACGAAAGTCAAAAAAGTAAAAAAAATCAGAAAATCGAATTTTTTGCTTTTTTCAAATTGTTTATTAACATTTTTTTTGCATAAAATCCTTTTAAATTTTTTAAATAAGCTATTTCCATTCAATTCTCTAAATAATTTTTCCTATGAACTATAGCCGATTTTTGCTTCGTTTTCGAGCTACAATTAAAAAACTGAAAGGGGTGCATTTTCATCCCTATCTTCAATTTCCACCCTTTAATTTAATAGCACTCCGCGGTTTTTTCATCTAAAATGACCATTTGAACGATTCATGTAATAAAATATCTTGAACGTCATAATTCCTTTTAAAATCCTCTATTCAGTAGCCTACTCTAACAATTGGGAGAAGTCTTATCGTTAGAGATGAACCCAACAAACCCTATATAATCCATTCTTGAAGTTGGTGTGATTATGCCAACTAACCCTGTAGATCTTAAAAATGTCTAGGCTAATGAAAAGTTTACGAAAACATCTCACATTTTTAGATGAGCTCTGTTTGAAGTTTAGCTTAAAAATTGTCTAAAATAATTAAAATCCATTAGATCCAGATTAATCCAGTGTCTTTAAAATTAAATAATGCTCATCATTTTTCAAACAATTTAATAATAATTAATATTAATTAAAGAAAAATAAGTACATATACCTATTACAGACTACTTGTTAGAAGAGGTTCTTGCGGTGATCCGACACTTAGTACCAGAATTATAAGGATGGGATATTTTTTAGCAGACCTGCCATCTATGCCGAACTTACCCTATCTGACATAAAAATTGATAGTCGATTTACTCGAAATGTTAATTAGTTACAAATTATAAAATGCTAAAGTCGACAGCAGTTAATAGATATTTGTATACTTAATTAGTAATTTAAAAGATACAAAACTTCTCTTTTTTTAATATTGTATTTTACCTGATAGTGAAATATCTCACCCACTTTACAGTATCAAAAACCGTTTATTATTGCTTAGTTGGAGATAAATATTTAGTTTAGTAGAAGTAACGTGGAAATATTTTTTTAATTATTAAATATTGCACATACAAAATAAGATTGTTTTGTAGCAATTTTCCCGTATTTACGGTTTTCCAAAAATTATTTATTTAAATTTAGTGGGAAATGGTTGGTTATTTCTGAATCTTAGACAAGTTTATTTTTACAGGTGGTCACATAACATATTTAAAAAGGATATATAACCATAAGTAAAGTGTGTTATATCACAATTCTGGAATAAATATATATTTTTTTAAATGAGAATGAAAGTGGATGTAATTTTACACAACATGCTACAAAATATTATGAGGCATTCCATTCGAAAAATAATGTTTTCGCAATATGAAAGTCACAAAGTGTAAGTAAAGGGAAAAAAGGATAATTTAATTTCAGAAGTACAGAGATTTTTAATTTCACATTAACAAATTTAAAATACAAATCTACCGTACACTAAAAGTTATGAAGATTCTTGCTGGTCCAGACAGCTCAATTTTTTTTATAAATCAGTGACTACCTACTATGAAAACTGATACTGATACTGATAAATCAAATATTACTCAAAACCTATATCATGGTAAAGAAAATTTTACATTATTTCTAATAAATTGTTTTAGAAACTTTTCTAGTCAGAAGGATACAAATCAGTTATTGTACATTTTTACGTTGTCGGTATCATTATGCTTTGATAAAAAATCTTATTAATTTCACTAGGAACACATGGACTATATTTGCAACATAGGCAATGTCCCTAGAAAGAAGAACATTAGCAATCTGGATCCAAAATACTCAGAAACTCCCGAATATACTCAAGGCGTTTTCGTATGTTTTAAATAATATTATGATTATTTATTTATGGCGTTAGCTATATTATGTAATAGTAATTGCGCTATTAGTATACCTTGTCCCAGCCTACGCCTTAAAATACTCATTTTAAAAGCTTGCTTTCCTAATCGTCGCAATATTTGCAGTGTTAACATGTAACTGTTTTGCTAATAGTACTGCGCTTATAAACATCGAAAATATATACATTACATTCATTACGTTCTTAATTATCTGAAGCAGAATTTATGAAAATGTTTTGATTTTCCAGTGTTAGTTATTTTTAATTAGGAATGATTTCATTCATTTACAGCTATTTCATATCCTATTTTAAGATTTTTAATCAGGTGATACATATATTGAAATTTGGGAAATTATAAAATATAGAAAACCGGTTAAATATGGAAAATCTTTATACCATTCTGACTCTTTGGGTTTGCGAAAAAAAAAGGAGATCAAAAATCTACTATAACTTTTTATCTCAACGATTCGGCTCCGAGAAACCCAACATAAACATTTTTTTGTCAACTTTCCAGCAATGTGTCACAAGTGCAAAAAAACACATAACACGCCGAAAAAACAATAAATATTATTTACAATATTATATTCCAATCGTTGCGCGTTGGTTGGAAGTATCTCGCGAAGGGATTCAAATTGAAATCTGACAATTTATATACGGGATTTCTGGATATGTTCTCGATGAAAACCTTGTCGGCTTCCAGTTCCTTACGGTTATAATGGAAGTATCTGTCAACAAATTATTATTTTAAACAGAAACCTCATATATTTTTAAATATTCGAAACAAGCCACTTGAGAAGTATGTAATACTTCCCAGACTCTGTCATGGACTTAATATCGTACAGTTTATGCTATCTTTCACACGGTTGATTAATTTTTTCATGAATTTATTGAAAAATATAGAAAATAATTTTGACGATCAATATCAAGTACAATTTTTACCGCACATACATTATGGTGCAAATGAAATTAATAAATTCATTATTTCGTAAATCGGTGACTTTGGACAAAAAATCCTGAAACAGGTCAATTTTTATTTTTAAAAGTGCGTTCTGCCAGATATTTGTTTTACATATGACGTTATCTATGTGACAGTGATGACGTCATTGATGTTTCTGTAAGGTTTTCTGTATTGGTCAGAAACTACTTGGACAATGTCTTTCGAGATAGGTAGATAGGGCGAAGAGGACCAATTAAATGGTCACCCAGGTCTCCAAATTTAACTCCTCTAGATTACTTTTTATGGATATACTAAAACAGTAAAGTATACCAAAATAGACCACAAAATCTAGATGCATTAAAAGGGCGCATTCGGAAGGAGATGGCACAAATAACTCTGGAAATTATAAACAAAGTTCGAGAAGAGTTTACTGCTTGTCTTTTTCATTGTATGAGGGTCGTTAATTTGAAAATTTACTGTATCTTAGGTTGTTAAAAATACATATTTTGTTGTAATTTTAACATATTTTCTTTGGCCTTACACAACATTCTATTACCTCTACATACTGATATTGTTTAATAAAGAATTTTAATACTTTCAAAAGATCTATCGCATGACACATTTGTATTTAAATAAAATCAATGAAGTCATTACTGTCGCAGTACTGTTGCACGAATGACGTCATATGTAAAACAAATACCTCACAGGACGCACTTTTAAAAATAAAAATTAACCTGTTTCGTGTAATTAAGTTTTTTACCGTTATAATAAACGCAATTAAATAGTATAAGTATTAAAAAAGCAGCTTCAAATCAATGACTTAAAATTAATTTTGAAGAAATTATAATACTTTCTGTTCTTTAAAATATATACATTAACGTAGAAATATCTCAGTAATCAGTGATTTTTCAGATATTATTTACTTAAAAAATTGTTTTTATCTTTATTTATTAATATATCATGTCTAGACAATTATGAAAGGTAATGTCATTTGTATCACAGACAATATAGCTTAGAACGATAACTGTTTTGTCTGTGTTTGTATTCAGAATCTGTTTTTTTTTTATAGAACTTAGATATATTTTTTGGTGTTCAAGATGTCGAACTGATAAGATAAATTTTAATGGAGAACATCACGAACGAATCGTATCGACAAATACAATTAGGATAAGCTAGTAGTAACATAAATCGATTTTAAAAAGTTTAACTGTTTAATATTCTGACAGGAATTTTTATATGAAATATATTTCATACAATTAAAATAATAATTAATTATCCAAAAAATGGCACTTAGATGAGCCTACTTAAAGAAAAACATTAGTACACTTTTATATTTGTACCTTTTCCAGGTAAATTTATATTTTTTCTCGCACAATAAATAACAGAATAACAGCAAAGATTGTTTTAGAAAAGGGGAGTACTGTTATAAGTACAAGGTATATGAAACGAAATTGAGAACATATTTTGAGAATTAGTCATTTCAAAATAATCACAACGCAGAAGAAATTAGTATTAAGTACAATAAAGTTTGTTTGTATTCTCTGAAAATAAACTTTCAGTATAAACAGTCAATATTATTAATAAAATGAGATGAATATTGAAAACATAATTGTAAAACATTATTTTCGAAATCAATTTTGAAATATCTTTTTTTAAATGCTTATGTACGTACAAATGCAGGATGACTCGTAAATGAACTGACACAAGGCAGGTGCTTGTAATGGACTCTAAAATAGGTATAGTATTTCAACGCAACTATATACCAAGTCACTCGTCATATCACTCGTCAATAGAACAAACCGTTCTAAAAAATTTTTTCCTATTTTTGATCACCAATAAAATTTCGTCAGGGGAATGTTGCAAAACTTATATTATTTCAAAATCTGCAAAACTGTAATTGTAACTATTACTTTCATAATTTATTTTTTAAATCTCAATATTGGTAGTTCAAATATACAGTAACTCTTACATTTATTGATATAATCGAACCAATTTGATAAATTAAATGAACAAATTTCTAATGGATTTAATTAATTTTATTGGTATTTGAACAGATACCGCTAACATTTCCGAATCTAATTAAATACATAAGCTGGAAAACTGTGTTCATTTGCTTTTGGCAAATAAAGAGTTAATTGTAATTTCAATATTTGCACTACACAATATTCGTGAAATAATTATTAATTAGTCGTTCCTGTTTCATTGAAATTCGCTAAAGCTCAGCAAGAAAATTAGTACCAGCATTAAGAGAAGCTGTGAGTGGAAAATTAATTTAGTAATTACGATAGGCAAGGTTATACAGACGTGTTGTATATTGTCGCTATTATTAAATAAATTAAAAATCTAATTAGAGTTCTTTGTAGAGTACACTTTCAGATTTAGCTGTGACAAAATGGTTGACGACGAAATTGAATATAATTTGATGACTACATCAAATTACAGTTATACTGAAAAACACGCCCACAAGTCTTTTCCTCTGCCATTTTATAAGCCCAATGCTGAATACATTGTATGTACTTATAAATTTTAGTACTCGCTTATTTTGTAAAGACGTTTTCGCTATCTTAGTTCTTGTTAATACAAATTTTAAAACTTTATACATTCCAATTATACACAATTGAAATAACAAAAATAGAGTGTCAATTATAATTTTATACGAGGTCTGTTCAGAAAATAACAGAACTTTCTGAAATGCGTGCTAATGGAGATATTTGATGATATGCGATTGGCAGCATCGCGTTGCGCATAACCCCTTCTATAGCCACATGTTCTTGGATTGTTGATATCTCATTTAGTTTTCATGGTATCGTTATTTGAGTGCAACTTGTTTAAATGTTAATAATGTTTGAACTGTGCGATTTTCTGGAACAATTATGTACGTAAAATTTTGAGTGAAACTGAGGAAAAATTTCACGGAAATGTTTCAACTTTTGAAACAAGCTTACGGATATGATGCTCTGGGTCGTACGTAATGTTACGAATGGTTTTCACGATTTAAAAGTGGTCGTCAATCAATCGAAGATGGTCCTCGACCAAGAAAGCCTTCAACTTCAAATGATGACTCCCATGTTCAGAAAGTCAAAGTTCTGATGCATGCAAGTCGTCCATTGACTGTCACAGAAATTGTAGAAGTAGTTAGCGTCTCAATTAGATCAGGCCATGAAATTTTGACTGAAAAATTGAACATGCATCAAGTTTCAGAAAAATTTATTCCTCATTTGATGACTGAATAACAGAAAGAAAATTGTGTGGACGTTTGGCGGCAACACCTTGAACAATTTATTTTATTGACAATGAAATATTCATTCAAAGGATCATAACGGGAAACGAAAGCTGAGTTTACGGCTACGACATTGAGACAAAAATTCAATCATCACATTGTATTGGCAAAGGATATCGACATCCCAAGAGAGCACGTCAGTCTCGATCCAATGTCAAAGTGATGCTCACAGTTTTCTCAGATTCTTGCCTCAAAGTGAAACAGTGAACCGTGTATCAGGGCGTTTTACAACAGTTACGTTAAAATATCCGCAAAAAGAGACCAAAGTTATGGCGAGACAACTCATGGTTCTTGTTCTTACACCATGATTCTTACACCATGGCAATGCGCGAACACACTCAGTTTTGTCGATTCGTCAGTTTTGTGCCCAAAACTAGATTACTGTCCTCCCTCACCCTCCTTAGGTACTCGCCAGACTTGACTCCTTGCGATTTTTTATTATTTCCGAAATTAAAATGAATGCTGAATCTGCTTCACGAAATGTAAACAACGCTGGGAGAAATGTGTGAATAGGAGAGAGAAGTACTTTGAAGGAGAAAAAGATCAATAATGTATAAATTAATAATACAGTTTAAAAAATATGGTTTGGTTATTTTCTGAACAGACCTCGTATCAGTTTATTCGGAATCATTACCACCAATGGTATTATACTATGTCTCAGAAAGAAATTTCGGATAGACAGAATGCACTTAAGACATTATAAAGTGACTTGGGTACAAAAATTTGCAATTAACACGAACTTAAGTTTTTTCGGCGTCAAC